TGTTCCTCAATACTCCAAAGAGTACAAGAGTATAAACTGTTCCTCAATACTCCAAAGAGTACAAGAGTATAAACTGTTCCTCAATACTCCAAAGAGTACAAGAGTATAAACTGTTCCTCAATACTCCAAAGAGTACAAGAGTATAAACTGTTCCTCAATACTCCAAAGAGTACAAGAGTATAAACTGTTCCTCAATACTCCAAAGAGTACAAGAGTATAAACTGTTCCTCAATACTCCAAAGAGTACAAGAGTATAAACTGTTCCTCAATACTCCAAAGAGTACAAGAGTATAAACTGTTCCTCAATACTCCAAAGAGTACAAGAGTATAAACTGTTCCTCAATACTCCAAAGAGTACAAGAGTATAAACTGTTCCTCAATACTCCAAAGAGTACAAGAGTATAAACTGTTCCTCAAAGACACCCCAAGGGTGTCTCGGCCTGGCCGAGACACCTAGGGGTGTCCTCACCCCCTACCTACCCCCCACACTCCTTTTGGCCTATAAATAGACCCCTTGGGTCCTCATTCAAGGGGCTGGAATTCTTTTGTCTTGGAGCAAGGCTAGAGAGAGAGGGGAGGATTTTGGAGAGCCTTGGCGAAGCCCTGCTGCAGTGGAGAGTGGCCGTGAGCTTCAACAAGAAGAGGAGAGGTCTTGATCAGAGCCTTCATCACCCGTCCGAGCCTTAGTATTAGCCCTTGGCGTTAATACTAAGAAGAGCTAATACCTCGCTTTAGCCGAGGTACACGCTTTAAACTTCTAGATCTCACGCGGATCGACGAAGTTCTGCTTTTATATCCCTCCGCGGATAGACGAAGCTCTGCCAGATTTTCTCGGAGCGGATCTGATTGCCCGGTGGTCCACGGATATCAACGTCCCCGTCACAGGCCAAAGACCCACGCAAGCAAGAGATGACAAACAGATCTTGCGTTTGTTTGAAAGGAGTTGTATTTCTTTTGTTTTCATTGTGTACCGGTCTTATAAAAAGGCTATCTTTTTATTTCATTGTAACGATTGAAGTTGTAATGAATGCAGCAATGAATACAGCAACTTTTTCCGCAAACACGGGTTATGCCCCAATACCAAGTGTAGTAATCTGATTCCCGAGGAGTTGGTTCAATTTGGTTGACAATACAAAAATGCCTATCATTCCATCTGTGTATAAAAGCTTGATGCACGATCATCCAGTTTATTTGTTGGTCTCCTTTCTTTGTCTTCCTCTCTATCTTTTCAACAAATTGCGGAACATGTTGTGCACGACCATATTGTCGAAGCACGCGGTCCGGTACATGTATTTCTACTATCTCCAAACATATAAGAGGAACTCTAGCTCTCCATACAACTTGGTATTCTGTGCATATTGGGGGTAGCTGAGGTAGAAATTGGGTGTAGGGCTCCCATTCCATCTACAATAATTTAATGCAGTTGCATATCAGAATTGGGTTTTCAGTATGTAGAAGAAAAAGCGCATGTTTTCGGGTGAGAATTACTTGAAAAATCTTCATACGGTCAAGCTCATTCCGGTAGAAATCCAATTGTCTAGCCGGGGTCTCGTCATAGCATTTTTTAACATTCCATCTACAAAAAAATGTTTGTCATACATTTAGTACCACAATGATAACTACAGTTATATTCACTACATAAAAAATACAATACCTGCATCCCAGTGGAATTTGTCCATCTAATTGTAAATGCGTGCATAGTCTCGGCTTCAAATGAAGTCTCTCCCATGCCCATACTTGCAATAAGCTTAGACACCCTTTAAGCTCACTGTTTTGCATAAGTGCCACTTTTGACATCTCTCTATATAAATACGCCAAAACGGCACTACCCCACGATTTTGTACCACAGCGTCCAAGTCCTCGAGGAGTGGTAACCACCTAGCATATTCACAATATTCCAACAATATTCCAATTTATTAAAATAAGCTAATTCAATAAAATACAGATTCATATTATAAATACACATACCTCGCATGCACTTTATCTTTACTTGAATCTGGAAATAATATAGTACCAATCATGTGCATAATGTATGCACGTGCATGTTGGTCAACCAAAATTTGTGGGGCATCAACAGGCAACGGTACTGAAAAGGTCTCTCTCAACCACTTCAACTTAATATTTCCTCGAGGCATTGTCTCTGGAGCTACACCTAACAACTCCTCACATCTTCGAGGCCATACATCACTATCAGTGCCGGTAATGCACGGACCATCTATACGGAGACCGAGTATCACGGCTACATCTTGTAGAGTAATGGTAGCCTCGCCCATCCGGAAGTGAAAAGTATTGGTCTCAGGTCTCCATCTATCCATCAACGCGGTTAGTAGGGGCTAATCTATACGAAGACCGAGTATCATGCGAGTGAACCTCTCCATACCCGGTGCAATCTCTTCGGATAATATTTCGTATTCAGTACCCGGATTATTTTGTTTGATATCTTCAAGATACTGTGGAAGTAATTCATATGATTTTTTCCAATCTCCAAAAATTTTAGACAACGCTTTCCTCCTTGCATCATATGCCTTATATTTAGATATTTTAATCCCTTGCATGTCATATACCCTCTGAAATATCTGACCTGCATTCAGATCAAGTTCAGCTCTAACTTCAGGCATAATTAGCTTACATATATAAGAAGAAGATGCAGAATAATCATCGACATCCACCAACGGGTTGCAACATGTATGAAGTCCGCAATATCTACATATTACAAATTGCCCATTTGATGATTTTCTCACGGCGGCATTTAGCAACCAAGGATATTTTTTATTTCTCTCATCTTGCTCATTTGCGTTCTCTACTTCATTCTTATCGTTAAAGAAGCATTTCACATTGTAGTTTGTTGCATTAGTTTTTATTGGCTTGAATTTGACCCGATTCTTGATGGACCATTCTCGGATTGCAAAGATCAGTGCCTCCTTGCTCTCGAATAGATCCCCTTTTTTAAAAGTGAAGTCCTCAGGTCGTTGTAAATTTGGCCCAACATCAACAAATCCAGCTTGAGAAGTATTTATCCAATCCTCATTATGAAACTCGTCGGGCAACGGATCTTCAGCTTCCACATAATCATTGTTAACTGTAAATTGCTCCATCCAACGGGTGTCATCATCGATTCCAGCTGCCACATGCATGCTATCAATTTGCACGCCATCTTCTTCAAAATGATCTGAATCATCATCTGCTTCATCTTCTATAATTGCTCCGACTGGTGGGTAACCCGTAACATGACCTGAAGCGTCGTTAAATATATTAGTTGACGTCCCACCGATAGAATACTCACTTAAACGTTGTGGTTGAGACCATGGCTCTTGACTTGGAGATGTCATAAAACCAATCGACTCGTTGTCTAAGTCAAGCATCCGAGAAAACTCTCCTTGAGGTCGTGAAACTTGGGCAAATTCCTGAATCGGATACTTCTCAATAAACAACTCAATTGACGCTTGCTTCTCGACTAATTGTTTCATGTCATTCAATTCCTCATCTTCGGTAATCTCCACGGCAATAGTTCTACTCTCATTTATCGGACAGTTGAAGAACACCCTAATTGTATATTCTTCTTTCTTAATTTTAGTAACTCTGTGTATTTCCCTAGTCATTCCATCAAAATTACACGACTTAGATAGCATGAACATTTTCCGAGAACCTCCATCATACATAGGCAAATTATTCACTCCGACGCCGAGGCTCCCATTAAAGAAACAAATAATGGGTATGGAGTTCGTCATCGAAACTGAAAATACACAATTCATCATATGCAAATAATCTATTAATATCTGAATAAATCAACATCAAATTTATTACCTTAATCAATCCCAAATAATGGCTAAACCCTAATTATTATTCATCATATGTAAATAATTGCTAAACCCTAACTCCCAAATCACATTATTCATCCTATTGCACAAAATAAAAACTAATCCTACCCAATTCTAGCAAAATTAACAGCCAAAACATTATTCCCCCAATTCTAGCAAAATTTGATGAATATCCCTCTAAAAAATAATTGATAAACCCTCTCATATGTAAATTAACAGCAAAATTAAAAAGAAAAACACACCTGAGAATGGGGGTTCGGTGGGCGTCGATGGTGTCGGATGCGCGACGAGGTCGGAGGGCTAGGGTTAGGCGGCGACTGCAAATGGCAGGGGGTCGAAGTCGAAGTTGAAGGCTAGGGTTTGGGGGGGTTGAAGGCTCAGTCACGAGAGCGTCGGGGTCCGAGGAGGTTAGGGTTTTTTTTTCGGGGGAGAGTGGTCACGAGAAGAGCAACGACAGAACGAAAGAAAGAACGAAAGAAAGGGGAGCTGGTAGGGTAGGCAGACTGCACGGGACTACTAGTCCCGTGCAGCTCGATAATTGCAAAACCGACCCTTTTCGGTCGGTTTTGCTAATTATTTTATGAGAGGGTCGATTTTGCCCAATAAAATTGAAAAAAGGGTTGTTTTAAAAATTTCTCCTAAAAAAAACAATGTCAAAATATAAAGAGTATATATGGTATATAAATTAGCAAAAAGAAAATCTGCTTTGAAAAGCATTCTCAGATAATTTCCAAAAACACACCCTAAACAACATAAACAACTTCAATTAGCATGTAAAAATTCTTTTGCCAAACACCATTATTGACTACTACTTTAAAAAAAAATGCAGAAACACCTTCAAAAAAGCAATATCTAACTAACCCTGAGTCTAAAGTAAGCAATCAAAAAACAAGGCTTTAATTTCTTATCTCTTCAATCATACATCATGATACCAGGGAGAGACCCTCCAATTCCATAACACAGCGAAACACATATAGCACAATCAGAGTAACAACTTCAAGAAGCTGTTTTTAAAAAGCATTCTCAGGTAACTTCCAAAAACACCCCCTAAACAGCATAAACAACTTTAGTCAGCATGCAAAAATTCTTTTACCAAACACAATTACTGACTACTACTTTAAAACAAATGCAGAACCACCTTCAAAAAAGCAATGTCAAACTAACCCTGAGTCTAAAGCAAGCAATCAAAAAACAGTTAAGGCTTTAATTTCTTATCTCTTCAATCATATATCATGATACCAGGGAGAGACCCACCAATTCCATGAAACAACGTAACACATATAGCACATTCAGAGTAACAAGCTTTTGCACATTCTACACTCTGAAACCTAAACTTCGCACAGCAATTAATGAAAGTAATGAAGCTATTCACATATGTCCTGAACTCCTGATCTATTCTCTGGAGACATAGCACCAGAAGAACAGACCTTGTCCTCGATATAAAGCATATATTTTCAGATGGCTGTGTCTTCAAGAGCAGCCGTGGACAAGTCATTAATACGTGGATAAGCAGCCTTCTCATCGAGCTGATTCTGAGCCCATATCAGCATCTTAAGCAAGCTGGGAAGCTTTGGATCTGCATATTGAAAGAAAATGTCGGTGCTGAATATATAACTTCTGTTGTAATGTTCTGCCAAACGTTAAGTGGAAAGACATTTACCTCAAACAGTCAACAAGCATTCTTCTGGATTAGTACAATTGGAACTATAAGCAGTAGCTGTATGTGATTTTTTTTTAATGTTAACTTTATTGTTTCTCCTGTTTGAACATTTACTACTTCCATAAAGTGTATACAGCTAACTGAGAAATTCCTCAAGAAGTGTTCCGCTTCTTTCAGAAACACTCACACTTCACTCAGAAACAGTAAACCATTTATTGGATATACACACGTAACC